CCCCCCCCCCCCACACACACTTTCCCATATCTTATCTTCCTCCCCCAACCCTAACCTACGCCCCTTTTCCTCTCTTCTTCTTCACATCTCTCACACAACCATTTCTCTCCCACACACACCCACACACTTCCAACTCTCTCTTCCCCAACTTCCATTACTCTCCCCTTCTACAAGAATCAGGTATGTCAAGCTTTCCATATCTCTTCTTGTACTTTTCTATTTTGCAAGTTACTACTTTGATTGTTGTAGTATTTAAAGTTAGTTTTTTTTTCTTTTTTCTTCTTTTTAGTGAGTAATGTGTAAAAATGTTGTAGAGACGAGTTTGGTATTGTTGTGTAAAGTTAAGTGTGGTGGAGTGGAATTGTGAAGTGAGAATGGTTGATGTGGGGGGTGAATTTATGCTTCTATGGGTTAGGTGTGTTCAATTACAGACCATGCTCAAAAGGTGTTTGTGAAATTGCCCCAATGGGGCTGTAATGGCTAATGTGACCATGGTGGTGGTGAAGTCTGTGTAACCACCCAGGGTTCACACAACTCAAACCCTCACTAATTGTAGCATCTGTTTTGTCAGGTACAATGCACCAGTCAAGGAAGAGATGTGCCACAGGTTCCTCCACTAGTGGATCAGGAGGGTCATCCAGAGCTCGGGGTCAGGTTAGTGCGGACCAGTTTGATCGTTCTCGGTTTGTTTCCAAAGCAGCTCAAGATAAGCTTAATGCAAAGGCGTCCAAAAAGCTATTGCCAGAAGTACACATTGACAGGCATGCCTTACAAATTGAATGCCCACATATCTATGAAGAATTGAGGAGGCGTCATTTCGACATCTTCTTTGATAAACCGGAGGAGGGCAATGTGCTGCTGGTAAGGAAATTCTATGCAAATTGCTCAGAACATGTTGAGAGGGTTGTCATGGTACGCCGGACACCGGTGGATGCGTCTCTTGAGGTTGTCACTGGAGAGACAGATTATTACCGAGGTTGTCAACTCTTTCTATATGCCGGGTGGCAACCAATTCTTGAAACAATCTGTGTGGCTAATCGGGATCCAATATGGATAAAGCCGAGAATTACCCTGAACTCTCAATCTCTCAATTGGGAAGCTAAGTGTTGGCTGACGATCATCAACAGCCGTTTGCTGCCGTCCAGCAACACCACCGATGTTAATGGGCCAAGAGCTACGACGATTTATTGTTTCATGAGCCAATACGATTTTGATGTGGCCCCGCTCATCCAAGAAGAGATGTTCATTCGCTCCCCGGAAGTACTCAAAGGGTTCTACTTCCCCTCCCGGGTCACCAAGCTGTGTCGTGCTTCACGAGTTCCTGAAAATCCCATAGTAGATGGGAAGTTTCCATTGAAAGCCCCATTCAGGGTTAGCAAAATCACAGTTGGGAAAGAGCCGGTTGTGGTGGTTGATGCTGATGATGAGACCGATGATGATGATGAGGGAACTATGCATGCTTGAGGCAGGCCCATCACAAGCCCGCCTGAGTACCCGCATGACAGACCTGGAGCAAGAAATGGCTGGCTTATGCACTTCGGTCACTGACCCGAGTACTAGAGTTGACAATTTGGCTACTCAAAATGCCAGGTCAGAGAAAAAGATCATGGGCTGGCTCAGGGCGCTAGGACAAGCGTGTCACCTCGATCTTGGCACCGTCTCTGATCAGGATTGAGCACCAGGGAAGTCCCCTTACCTTACTCTACTTTAAATTCTTTGACATGGGGACATGCCAAATCTTTAAGTGTGGGGTGGGGATGGTTGTTATTGTACAATTGTATACATTTGTTTGGTGTGGTTGTTGTTTGGTGTTTTTGATTATTTTTAATTAACTTCGACTTGGCCCAAAGGCGGACACCTTTCGACGGGTCTCTTGAGGAACTTAAGTCGAACGAAAAAAAAAGATTTTCTTCTGTTAGGTAGTGTATCAACTCCCCCTTGGTTTTTCCTTAAACCACAGTTCTTTCCAAGGATTTCCATTTGAACCGGGTGTAGTTAGTTTTTCTTTTGTAGTTTAGGAACTTTTGGGCGAGGAAATATTAGAATAGGATCCCTTGACTCCATGGTACCTTGAATAGAGATTGCTTTAGTGTGACACTTAGGCTCATTAGTTGACTCCAGCAATCAAGCCTTAAATTGTGTGTTCTTGAGTTGGCTTAAACACTTTGAGCAGAGTGTCGAATGGTCCTAACCGAATTGAGTCATGTGCCATATGTGAGTGAGGCTTTGTGTATTCTATGCTAACACTCAATGCCTAGAACTTGCCCTGTGTGTACAAAGCGAAATGGTAGTCTTACTTGGTCTGGAAAATGATATAGGCATTTCCTTGTTGAACCTATCTATATATGTTTTTACCCACCAGAGTGTATATATCCTAGTTAACCCCTTTGAGCCTGTAATCCTGTTTCCTTGGCAACCACATTACAAGCCTTACCATGTTTTGAAGTACCAATCTCTTTGAACCCTATCACCTCTTAGAAGCACTTGAATTGTAATGAATATAAAAGAGTTAAAGTGTGGGGTGGCTGGTTGGGCTTTTGAATGGAACCAAGAAGACTTAAAAACAAAAGGGGTGCACTGTGTGATAAACAATATTAGAAGCCACCAGGAAAAAAAAAGAGGAAGAAGAAACTGAGCGGAATAATTTTTACAAGAATAAGTCTCAAAATGTTGGTGTTCTTCAAAAGAGAAAGTGTGCTTAACGAAGTAGGGGGTTTAACTTAATGATGTAAAGGTGGAATGAATGTTTGATAAGGCATGGGCTTAAAAGTGGAAAGTGTATTGAAGTGCTTAGGGAGGTGTAGTCACTATACCCATATGTATCCTACCTGTCCCACAGCCAATATTACAACCAAATAATGTCCTACTTGATTCTAGACCAAATGGGCTCGATTAGTCGAGTATTACACTACGGGCAATCCTATGGTGCGTTGTTTGTGGCATAATAATTTATTTCTGAGGGTGAGTGAAATCTTACGTGTTTGAATTCCTCAGTGTGTGAATTATAATGACATAACACAAGTCTCTTTTGTGGTGAGTAGGCACATGCTTCATGAACGAAAGGTAAGTCTGGACCTTTGACTGAGTGTATGAAAGCCGGTTAGGGACATTACGTGGCTAGGAAGAGAGTCCACTCTTGAGGTTAGGAGGTTACACTAAGGTAGTCTATCCATGTGAATTATTCTTGGTATAAGGAGCAGGGAAGTGACCCAATAACGATTAGGCCTATAGAGTGTGGTTTTGTTGCTAGAGGACTAGCAACGGTTTAAGTGTAGGGTGTTGGTAGTAGCCTATATTATATGATGTAGATGCTATTTATGCCTTAAGTTAACCATACTTTATTGATGTTTTAAGTGCTAAATGATAACAAAATGCTCTAATTGAGGTTTTTATGCTATGCAGGAACTACCCCGAGTTAGGAGGAGAATATAGTCTTTTGGGGTCAAATATGTAGATACAAGGCCAATCGAGAAGAGCCCAGATGAAAACGAGCAAGAAAAGGCGAAAAAAAACGGGGCAATAGCTCACCGCGATCGCGGTGGGACCGCGGCTGGAACGCAGTGAAAGAAGGCGAGAAACAGAATGTTTGTGAAATACCGCGGTCGTGCCGCGACCAAGGTGGATCTGGAGACAGCCAAGAAGTTTGAGGGCCAAAGTGTAAATCGTGGGAAACTTATCCTAACCCTATATAAACTCAACAAACTCGCCCAAGTCAAGGTTAAGCTGGTTTTTATACTAAATTGGAGGCAAGAACAAGTGTGAGAAGATCAAGACACCATTAGAGTTTTTCAATCTTCTTCTTGTTATCATTACTTGCGAATTATGAATGATTTTATGGTTTTATATTGCTTTTCTATGAGTAGCTAAACAGTTAATCTAGGGTTGATGGAACCGATTGCTAGATGAAGTTTTGACTCAATTTTGTTAAAATCGAGCCGGGTTTATTATATGATTGCTCAACTATGCTTTGTATGGTGATTAATTGAATGGGCCCTTGATTAATCGTGTCTAATTGCCTTGTGTTTCTTGAGAAAGAATACTAGGTTAGATTGTTGTTGAACAACACCACTTTTGGGTAATTGAAGAGATTCATTACTTGAATTTAAAAGTGGGGTTAGAGATAACGAAACTTTGGTGGGATAATTCCAAGCTGCATAAATTATCAACTAGAGTAGTTCGAGAGAATGCTCTAGTAAATTATCGTAATTGATCGAGAGATAATTGCGGTAACCCATAACTCATAATCCTCATAGAGTATCACGGCGAGATTATAGCAAAGAGTTAAGAATTAAGCTAGCAATTAGGGAAATCAATACCCTAGATCTTTTTACCATCGATTTATCTTTAATTTAGAATATTGTAGTTTTAATATCCTTTTATATTAGTTAAATAAATCTCCTTG